CCCCCCCCGCTCCGCTCCGCTCCGCTCCGGCAGGCGGGAAGTCCTGCTGCAAGTAAACACTCACAAGATTTGGTTCTGGATCACGGAGTGAGTTGCAGTACTGCTCAGGTCACATAGAACTGATGGATGCAATGGTATCAGGCTCCATATCTGGTGTGGGATCAGGTCCTGGATGAGGATGGGACCCAAACTCTGGGGTCACTGGGCCAAAATAGGGGAGACGACTGGTTGGAGGAGTAAGTGCAAGTGAGAACAGCACAGTGCAGAGGGACCTAAAGTGAGCGAAGGGTAGAGGACCAGTGTCATTTAAAGCCCTGCGCTTGTTGATTTGCAGCAAACGTCACTGCTTGAGCCACTGGAGACTCAGATTGTCTGAGGCACTAAAAAAATCTGCAGTGGGATCTTAGCTGCTTCCCCAGACAGCCAGCATGGGTCCCTGCAAGATGGTCACACTCTGTCACTGTGCTCAGCAGACGCCGAGCAGATTTATGGCTTTTCAACAAAACGTGGCGGCCGTGCGCGACGTCGACTCGGCCATCTGGACCGATAGCTGGGGGGGGGGGCGGTCTACGCCGACTTCGGAGATTTAAGGATGTCTGAAGAGGCCTGAGAGGAAACCAACGGCCCTGCGGCATCTGGGGAGACGGTCTTCAACATGACAGCCAACGAGACCACACTGAGACCACATTAAGACCACACTGAGACAACACTGAGACCACACTGAGACAACACTGAGAGCACACTGAGAGCTCTTCTTGTCCATTTGGCAACACAAAGGAGAAGTAATTCACGGCTTTGGACTTTTTCCTCCCATGATTTTGTCACCCCTAATTTTTAGTGGTAGGTCCAGCCCACTCTGACGCTTGCTGGCACCTGAAGGGGGCGTGCTGTCTACACCACAGTGTGTGGTCCGCTGATTCATTACACAACCCCCCCCCCCCCTAGTGTTCCACTCCCAGACACTAGGGGGAGCCCATGAGTATGTCAGCTGGATAATAGTAGCTTTGGTTTGGAGAAGGGGGGGGGGGGCAATCTTTTTGTGGCTCTGGGCCCCCACAATCAAGTCATGATTTGTACTCAACATTTGGTACAGAAACAACTGAATTGCTAGACTGCACCCAGAGCAAATGTCTGACAGTGAACGCCAGCTGCCTGACACCCATCCGCATACCTGCTCCCCAGAACAGGAAGACGGTGGTTGACGGGGCCCAGTGTGCTACAGTCAGGGTGATTGTTGGGCCCATTGTGCTTGAGTCAGGGTGATTGTTGGGCCCAGTGGGAGCCCCTCGCGTGAAATCCATGTGCGAGCGCCATCTGACTTGTGCAGATTCAATTTTCCATCCAAGGTTAAAAATAACGCTCCCTGATTGGCCTTCGGAGGATAAGAGAGGCTACCTGGGAAAATAAAGTGCACCCTTGAGCTCAGCAGCGCCTCACGCTGGAGCATCTTGAGCGGCGTCAGAGGTCATGTGATCAGGGGCACTCTCCGAAGACTCCAGCCAGCGCTTCAAGAAAAGGCACCACGCCCACCACGACAGGACTGCCTGGTCTGTTCCGGATCATCCGGATAGTCCTGAGGATCTTCATCTGATCCGTCACGTGCGAAGATTGAAATGAAGTCCAGGTGTGACCTGCATAAAACGGCTTTGAATAAAGTCTGCATCGTGACCGAATTCTGAACTTTGAAGTTAGGCTGCTGAACACTGCTATAGCCTTGAGCCTGAGACGCGATACAGTCCCAGGAAAATGGAATGAAATACATCGAGTAATTGTTCCTGGTGAGGTAGGGGCCCGGATTCCCAGACCAGCTTACAGAATGGGGGGGGGGGTCACACCCAGTGCCAGCTGAAGGGAGAATCAAGCATGAGCATCTCACCACCAACAGCACAAGGGATTATTATTATTTTTTTTTTTTGGGGGGGGGCATAAGGAAGCCAAACAGACATTCTGCAGACAAATGGAAGAGGCCTGAGTTTATTTAAAACGAGAGACGGAGCCGCCAGTTTGACATCATCACCCGAGTCACACGCAGCCTCCAGTAAACAGGTGACATCGCTCACCACCCAGCACCCTGTACATGTGGTAAAGTGACTGACACATAACTGCGTGAACAGTGCCACAGAACAAGAGCTGACATGACTCAGGAAATGGGAGAGGTTCTTTCAACAAGATGGTTATGTACACAAACATAATTCCATGCACGCTACAGAGATCCAGCTAAAAACATCTGATAGCAACCATGCTCGTTAAAACTCATGCTCATCTGCATAAAACTAGACTTCTCGTTTTGGTTCCAGAAAGTTCCTGGCCCATACACAGCTTCCGACAGTGCTATGACCTTGAGAGCTGTGGTCCTTCTCACAGAAGGTCAGCGAGGGCTTGACGCAATTTGGGGAGACTTTTTCTCCAGAAACTCATGTGAGTCATTTTAGGGCCGACTTGGTTGGAAACACTGTTGGATCCCTCTAGCCCGTGTCTGATAACACTTATTTACATACCTTTCTTCAAATCTCCTACACTAAAATATATTATTAAGCAAAAGACAATGATAATGGACATTGGAGGACCAAAGCGCTGAAAACGCAACCTGCATGCCCTGCTCAAGTTGGTAAAAATAAAGTGAACATCACAGCAGCGGACCAACTGGTTATACTAGTTAGCACAGTTCAATATCAAGGTATTGATAGTATGGACAGTAAAAGGCATCCGAATGGCTTTTTTTGATGCTACAGGGGTCAAAAATCTACAGATGCCTTTTAAAAAACAGACCCCAGGATGAATTTCCACACGAGCATCCTAGCAGTAAATGTATGGTTAATATAATGACTGAGCTGTGCGTGAGTGAAACTCGCCCCCTGGTGGATTCTGGGAGGTATTGCAACGACACCCAGCAGGCCACACAAACCAGTCGACTGATTCAGCTCCCTGCCAACCTGCGTGTTAATTACTCAGCGTCACCTAAATCTCTGGCTGGCCTGGACGCCTGTCTGCTCCTCCCAGTGTTATCCATTCTGCTCCTGGACCAAGCTAAAACAGGCTAATGCGAAGCAGTGCCACGCCCACCACTCAGCCCTTGATGCTAGTTAGCTTGATTAGCATTGCCATTGTTTAATTTGGCTAGTGCCCCCAAACAAGACACGTATGTAATTCCACCACCCCCCCGCGATAAGAATGAAGATTTTCCCCTGACTGAAGGCACCATTTCCCAGTAAAGGCACTTGGTACAGCTGCGTTTTCACTGCTGAGGTACGCCGCCATTGCAGCCAATTCCTCTTTGATGCACAAGTAAAGGCACGCAGGTCACGTGACGCATGGCAGGATAGGGTCATGTGACTTTGGCTTTGTTCGGGCCGTGGGCGGATGCCTTCTTCCTGCTGGCCGACCGCGGGCCGGTGCCGCCCCTCTTCTTGGCTGGGGGCTCACTCCTCCTACGGGAGTAACGGGGGTGTGAAGATCAGGCGAGGACACATTCCTGCAGCATGTCTGCATGCGGGCACTCACCCTCTGGGGGGGGGCTCCGAGGGCACAACCGGCGAAATACGGGCCTCACCCCGACACACAGGCAAATTCAAGATATAGCCGACTCTGTGTGTGTATGGGTGTGTGTGCGTGTGTGTGTGTGTGTGTGTGTGTGTGTGAGCGAGAGAGAGTGTGACGTTTTCCCCTTTTACCCCACTGAAGTGCAAGCTCAGTAAGATCCTACACACTTTGGTCACGTATGTTGACACAAGACACAAAGTGAGCAACTGTACTTGACGAATCCAAGTGCACCGGGATTTCTTGAAAACAATGGGACACACTTGACCTGATGAGCTCAACAAGAAACACGTTACGACTATGTTATCATTTGTGTTGGCTGTGTTTGGAGTTGTCCTTCCCTGCAGCCTAGGCTATGTAAACTTTCGTTATACAACTTTGCACACTTAAACTGAAACTTCTTAGGAGGAATGTTCCTGTAAACATTAATTGTCACTGATGCAGTGCATAGTGGGCTATATACTTTGCAAAATACTGCTTCCATGCGGTATTTGCCAAAATGTGGATGAAGTGCACATGGAGCATGCTGCACTTGGCTTATTGGAGGTATGGGACACCCTTGGATACAAGCCCACCAAGTGTGGCAGTATAAGTGTGTACTTAGTGGGGAAAATGGGAGAAAGCCTGCGAGTGTGTGAGTGAGCGCATACGGACTCGGGGTACCCCGGTGTCTCGAATCCCAACTCCGCTCTGCGTGTGTTTGCACGTCCACCCTGTGGCCTGCGGATTTCCCTACATACTCACACTCAGTCAGGCTAACTAGAGTCCATAAAGGTTCCCATAGTGTCTGATTGAGTGTATGTCCTAATGATGGAGCGGCGTCCCGTCCAGGGCGTCCCCCAGCCTCAGGCCCAGTGCTGCCTGGGACAGGCTCCCCTCCCCCACGACCCCGACCAGGATGGACAGGAGACAGATGGACGGACACACATCCTCACTCACCCCCGAGCGCCTCGCGCCCTCGAGCCGCACGGACAGGCCCGGCGTTTGTGTCCAGGGCTGCCACACGCGAAGCAGCCGGGCTGGACCTCGCTCCCGCCGCAGGGGTGGGCTGGGAGGGTGCAGCGCTGGCAGGCGGGACAGTGCAGCCATGCTGGGGAGGGGGTGTGTAACAGAGAGGTGGGTAACACGCCATCACACGCTAAGGCACATACGTCTTACTAAGCCAACACCCGCCTTGGCATTCGGTGCTGCAGACAGTATTTATACACCGTAAAACGGACAGTCTACGTCATCCAAACCTCAGCTACCACCACTAGCTCTGCTCATGGCTTTGCACATCCACAGCTACGCACTTACTTGGTTTTACGCACTTGCTACACAGCTCGCAGTGCCTCCACTCGCGGCCATCCTGAAAAGCAGGAGAGGGATGTGTCACACATTCGTCAAAAGGCCCAAGCAGCCCCCCCCCCCCCCAGTCAAACGGCCTACCTTGGATGTGCAGGCGTCACAGGCGGGGCAGTGCTTGTTGCCGGGGGAAACGTAGCGCTCACAGACGGCACAGAACCTGAAGACGGAGAAAGGCCTCAAGGGACAGTCGAGCGTGATGAGCGGCCCTCAAGGAGCCTGGACTCCCACCCCCAGGGAGCCCGACTTCAGGGCCCTCAGGAGAAACTTTTCATGGTATAAAACCACACCGAGTTCCTTTCATCTCTGCCGTTCGTTTAATTTGCACATATTCCTCTGGTGAATCACGCCCGCTGCTTGTTTGATTACTAAATCCAGATAATTAAAACAGGCCCCTCGGGCATTAAGAAGCAAAAACAGGTCATGGCTGCGATGCAGGTCAGACGCGGTCTCACCTGTATCCCTCCTGCTCTGGCAGGACGACGTCACGGGGGGGCAGGTTGGTGAAGAGGCGGACGGGAGACTGCTTCCGGCCCGTCTTCCCATGCTTGTAAAGGGGGTGATTGTCATAGTCCACCTTGGGGCCAGCAGGGGGCAGAGCGGTTAAGAAATGCGACACGGTAGCTGGAGGCTGCCTCAGTCCAGTGGGCGTTATGGCCCTGAGCCACATCAACATTAATATGCTTCAGTGAGGCTTCTGGCAGATAGAGATCTGAGCAGAATGTAAGGCAAAATAAAGAAAAAAATCCCGAAGAGAGAGGAACTGCGGAATACCTGATAATCCAGCATGGAGAATGTGGGGAAACATTCCAGAATGCGGGACTCAAAGAAGTACGGGAATATCCAAAACATGGGCATCTCCCCTTCGGCATTCCCTAAGCAGACACACAAAGCGCTCTGTATCCTGCAGATACGTCTCCCACCAACGTTTGTTCTGCATATCCCCATTTCAACTTCTATTTTATTTTTATTCCATTTATTAATTTTTGTACTTTTGTCTCGATTGTATGTGTAATCGTGCACCTCATGCCACAACATGCACCAACATGCACTTTCTGTCCACGGCAAATGACAAGATTCTGATTCTGAATTTCAGATCACATATCCTGACAGGAGAAATCCTTCCGAGTTTGGCCCCCCCCCCACCCGCCCCGGGCACGGGCATGGGCATGACTGACGGGCAGCAGTGACCATCAGACACCAACCTGAGGGATTCAGTGCTTTCCAGGCATCAAAGATCTGGGAGAAACTGTGAGCGAGCGGCTTAACCAGACCTCCAAATGGAGGGTCCGTCACCATGACGACCTTGGCTCCGCCCACCTCACGCAGAAAGGCATTCAATACACCTCTGGCTGTCTGCAACACACCGTACAGCAGAACCTGTTAAAGGTCATGGGTAAAAAAAACCCAACTCTGATCTTCAAAAAGCCCTCCTCTTACCTTCCCATTGAAGAAATGGTGGTTGAACATGTTATAATGACAAAACTCATCTTCGCTGTAAAATTGCGCATACCTACAGGAGGAGAGGGGGCAGAATTAATTAGAGGGAGATTCTTTAAAGTGCAGACTGCACCAAGAAGTCCAGCTCAGAAAACACAGAAACTGTGACATAGGGGGCAATGATTTTGCAGCCTTTGGACGGCAAGGCTGAAGATCATACTTTTGCAAGACCTTTACCTCACATTTTTTCCAGCGGCAGTTAAAACACGTTTCGACATGGGGATTCCAGCCTCATAAAAATAATTACAGAGGGGAGAGCGCTGTGGGTGTAGGGGTGGGGCTGGCATACCACAGT